GAACTAGTTTCTGCTTTGTTTGATCTTCGAATGAGATATCATGGAGTTTGTTTTTTTCCATCCCGTTTTGGTTTGATACAGAACCCAACCATCCCAAATTGGTCAATGCCAAGCGTGAAAACACAGGTTTAAGTTGAGGGCAGTCACTAATATGGCAATACTCTTGTGGCCTCAATCATCAGGCCTTTGCAAAATTTGCTTTTTGGAAACATTCATGTATTCTGTATATATTTCAGTTCAAAAGTAAGCTGGAAACTAAATTCAAATGATCTAACCTACCCGTTGCAGATAAATCAATGGTAACAATTGAATTATATATGCAATTTGTGATCATTTAGTGTTCATTGAAAATTTTAGCATGAAGGTGAACATTGTAAACCTTATTACTAGTGCATTGGTATTAGAGGGCTACTGGACTTTCAATTGAGATAATATCATCATGATTTATTCTTAATATTGAGTTCTTGTGACTGCTGTGTTGCTATCTGGCACAATTGCCATGAGATCTTGTGATTTTTATATGGTTATTCATTCTGAATTGTTTGATCTAACCATTATTTGTGCACAAATTCTCTGGTTTATGATTGTCATATTTTAAGATCATAATTTCAGCCAATGCATATATTCTTGATAAATAATTTGAGACCATAAAATTCCTCCAGATCTACTTGATGCAACAATTTGCTAATGTCATCTGATATGGACAATGTATGTTTTTTGTCACTCGTCTTAATCTATGATACTAGTTCACTATTCACTTTATAATCTATGATGCCAGAAGGTGTGTGTTGTCTTGCTGCCTAATTCTGATCAAATTTACTGGATTTACTCAGCAAAGAATTGAACTTCTCTTGAGCTAATTTAGGGAAAAAAAAAAAAAAAAAAACCTTCTCTTAAGCTAATAATAATTTTGATTACTTTCTAATCAAGCTACCTTCATAGTTGTATTAGCTAAAAAAAAAAATTTGCATCTGTAAATATTCAGTTGGCCTGGCATCACAAGATAGTTAAAAATTAAGCTAATTCTAACTCTTGAACAATTTGGTTATAGATTATCATCTCATCATCACCTTTTTCCCGCCTATTGTTGAATATGATTAGACATCATCATCTTGCATGTTTATATTGTTAGGTCAAAATCTGACCTCATATATAGAATATTTAGCTAGATTGCACTAGTTACTTGGTGTCATGGCTTATTTTGTAAAGAAAGGGACTATTGGGCTGGTTTGAGGCTTGGATGGGGCGCGGGAGACTTGTATGTCTTGGAGGAAACCTAAATTTTTGTATTGGTGAAGTAACACTGATGTTGCCCAAACCCGATGAGAATTAAATTTTGAGGATTTGAATTCCCTGGTTGTTGTAGGTCCTGCTAATTGGTATGCATCAAGTTGTGTTGATTGATTGAAAGCATACCTATCCTGTGGAGTTTAACTTATACATTTGGCATCTCACCTCCTTAAATTTAGCTTCTTTCCTTCTTGTGCTTAATTTCTTTTAAGTGTATTGCTCGTAACTGCAGAACGAAGAGAGCTGTTCACAAGACAACCACCACAGATGACAAGAGACTTCAAAGCACCCTGAAGAGGGGGGTGAATTGCATTCCTGCAATTGAGGAAGTCAGCATATTTAAAGATGATGTAATTATCCAGTTTATTAATCCTAAAGGTAACGCCAGTTATGGCAGTAAACCCTGTATTTTCAGTCACACCCTTCTGCTCCTCTTACGCAACTGACAATTTATTTTTATTTCATGTATCAGTTCAAGCCTCTATTGCTGCCAACACTTGGGTTGTTTGTGGTTCTCCTCAGACTAAGAGTATGCTTTCTCCGTTTTCTCATCTGCTTTAGAATTTATTGTTCGTTTACTTAAATTGTGTCTGATACACATCTAGGTTTGGCCATTTAATTCATTTTAACTTTGAATGTAGGTTTTGGCTCTTTAGCTTATATTGTAGCACAAGTGGATGATGATGATGAGGTCCCAGAGCTTGTGGCTGGGGAGACCTTTGAAGCCGCCGCAGAGGAGGGGAACAAGTTTTAGCTTGATTGTTATTCCTTATATATTTTTTTTTATGTTTTTTTAAGGTATATTTCTGATATTAAGTTTTTTACTGGTTCCTTTTCTCTGATGCATCTAATCACTTTGGTATCATTAGGTCTGCAGATGGGAATAAAAATGGCTTCTCTGTCCGCAGTTGAGTCTGTAGAATGAAGGCAAGTGTTTGGAATGCTTGTAATACATTTGATAATAGATCCTGAACTTGTTTTTTCAACATTAACTTGTGGCCAGTTGACAAGTTGGCACAGCATTGTAGGGAGTAACAGGCTGTTCCTTCTCTCCCCCTCCCTATATATATATATATATATATATATACCTATGATATAATATATGTGTGTCTTTCATAATGAGACGATCTTTCAACTTGTCACTTGGAAAGGTAGACTAAGGAGCTACCTTCTCACTTTGAAAAGAAAAAGGACTCTAAGGTTATGGCACTTGATGGTTCTACTGTATACTTTGCTACTTATATGTGATTGTTGTAGTTTTATTTAATTACCCAAGTATTTTGAAAAACAGTATAATCATCATCCAATTCAGACTTATGTTCTGGTAAATAAAATAAAAATTCAGACTTGAGTGCTTTGGACAAAAAATTTCATGTGCTGTAGAATAATGGACGGTCCAAATCAAGTCTCACGCATCATACACGCGGTGTCATTTTATAGCATTGCCAGATTTTTTCCTCTCCCAACTACATTTATATTTATTTTTTCAAAATAATAATAATAATAAAATTACCATTCCATTTCTTCAGCATTTTTGAAGCATAAAGATTCTCATGTTTATAATCTGAAACGTGTACATAATTCAATTGCATTATGTATGTGTGTGTGTATTATAAGTATCCATTTCGCTAGTTATTTCAATTATGATTAATGATTATCAATAATATATCTAAAAAAATGATAATTATATCTCCTTTTCACCACTTGCACTTCATTTAAAGATTTTAGTTGTTGAAATGATATCTTATTATTATTATTTCAAGAATTATAAATGTGTATTCAAAGTCATTTCCTTTTTTTTTCTCATCAAGGCTCTAGTCTAGCGGTGTTTCATCTACCTCTGCAAATGAAAGATAATTCAAGTCATGGTATGGACAAACGTGTGTAATTTTTTTTTTTTTATCAATTATTATTATTATTATTATTATTTTAAAAAAGGGAAGTGAAGTGTAATCCCAAAAAAAACTAGAATACCTATATTATCACCTTTATTTAAATCAGAGAAATGATTCAAAGTCGGACTCTTATGAAATTAAGCATAGGCTTACTTAAAAATTTCTTCATGACTAGATGTAATTTAGTGTAGTTTTTCAGGTGATGTTGTTTTATTGAACATAATTACTTACTATTCATACTTAAATAAGTGCATACTTGTGTTATATTCTGGTTGATATGATATGCTTAATTAAACAAGTTAAATCAAGTTAAATAGGTTGGGTTTCTATACTCAGACAAGATTTATTTATTTTAAACTATTAATTAAACTGACATGATTATAACACAAATATGATTAACAGTAATTTAAATTAATTTACTTCATATTAGATTTATGCTTAGTTCGGTAGGAAGGGAAAAAATTAAATGGAAGGGAGACAAGAAAGGATGACTTAGAAATTCCTAGGAAATAGATTTAACGTTTCTTCTTTTTGTTTGGTTGAATCTTTTTGTTTGGTTGAATAGAAGAGAATAAAAAAAACTGATAATTTAATTCGAAATGTAGAATAAAATGAAATATAAAATTTTAAATTATTTTTACTATTAAACCCATCTCTTACTTTATTTATGAAATTTATTAAATATTTTTGAAAGGTGATGTAATAATTTAAAACTATTATAATAAACTCACTTGTTTTTTCTCCTATCTTCCACCCATATTTGGGCGGAAGAAAATTTGTGAAAGAGGAAATCCTTCCTATTATTATTTCTTTTCTTATATCATTTCTATCGAATAAAAGAAATTTGTTCCTTCCTTTTTATTTTTTTCCCGCCCCTCTTCTTTCCTTTCTACCCAACATTGCATTAAGTCATGACAGAGAATTTTAAATTTAGTCACTCTTGATAAGAAGGATTTTTAAAAGTAAGGTATAATCATTCGAAGTATGTTACTAGTTAAATCACATAGATTATATCTTCTTTTTCTTTCTTTCTTAATTTTTTTTTCCTTTTTTTGTTTTTTCTCGTGCGCACAGATCCATACAACATGACAAGTTTGTGAATATAAAATATGTGTTTAACATGCACTCAAATTTAATATTGTGCTTAGTTCATTTTGTTTTTCAAGCCTTCAATAAATTTAGCATGTAATTTGTGATTGTTCCCGACTCGATTTGATATTTTCTCCTTGATTTGATCTTGGGTGGATTTTTGGATGATTTTTTTTCATGTAACTTTGGAGCTGTTGCCTTTATAATGGACAGACCTTTTGCTCACTCTTGTTGCTGTATTTTTATTATGGTGATTTTCGAGTTTGACTGTCATTCTCAACAAATCGAATAAATCAGGAACTTATTCTTTATTTTTTCTTACTTTGTTCCAAAATTTGTATGTCTTTTTCTGATTCTTATAATTTCTGCTTTTGCAATGAAATTTTTTTTTACCCTTTTTTCCAATTCGTTTTGAGCAATTGGACACCAAAATTGCATAACAAGTTCAAACTATGAAGCTAATTTAGACAAGAGAGATGATGAAATTAACAATTTTATAGAAATATAATACTTAGATTGCAAAAGTTTGCACACTATTTATGTAAAGTATGGTTATAGGCTTTTAGGCTGTGCAAGGAATGTTTAACAATTTTATAGGAATATAATACAATATTACTTATTAGATTGCAGAAGTTTGCAGGCACGTTTTCCGAAGAGAGAATTTGTTGTCCCACGTCAGCTAGAAACTGAAAATATTTGCACTTAATATACGTTTGGTTCACAATAGACTTAGCTTTGGGGACATCTGATAAAATTAGAACGATATAAAGAAGATTAGAATGGCCCTTCTGTAAGGAAGACAGGCACAAATCGAGAAAAGGTCCAATTTTTTTTTTCTTTTTTGCCCCAAATCTTTAGGATCTGCTTTTACAAAAACACCCTCCTAATTCATCAGTTTCCCACAGTACCCCTGCTTTCTTCCACGTGTCTTCTCATCCGCATTGAGACTCACCAAAAGCTTACCGTGGAGTGTGTACCTCTCTCTCTGCAACTCCAACATTGTCTTTCATCCCCCCCCCCCCCCCCCCTCCCCTCTCTCTATCTCTCTCTAAGTCTCCATACACACAGTTTAAAATAGATATATGTGTATAGTTACTCCATCAATATATTATACTACGTAGTTATGGTGACTGTTGAGGGCAGCGACTCACACGCTATAGTTAGTTCTCCCTTCCCTTCTCACACACACTCTCTCTCTATATAAGTAAATATATATATTAAATATATATGTTTTTGCTTCAATAAATGTTTTGGCTTCTTTTATAGAAGTAGCATGACTAATTGTGATTCCCCTAATTCATCAGTTTCCCACAGTACCCCTGATTTTTTCCGCGTGTCTTCTCAGCCCTTTTAAGACTCACCAGAAGCTTATCGTGGAGCTCCCTCTGCAACTTCAACATTCTCTTTCATATCTGCGTTCCCCTAACAATTTGTCTACTCTTCTCTCCCCCCCCCCTCTCTCTCTTTCTCTATGTATGTATATCATAGATATATGTGTATATATTTACTCCATCAATAATTGTTATGATAACTGTTGAGGGCAACAATTGTAACCCTCGAAACCAAGGTTAGTTCTCTCTTCACTTTTCACTCTCTATCAGGTTCTCTCCATGGGTCTATGTATGTGCTTGATTTGGGTTTTTCCTTTGCTGTTGTTATCGTTAGCATTTTCTGGTTAGGGTTAGGGTTCATTCTAAGTTTTAATTCAGAACCAGTTTTTTGCTTCAACAAGTGTTTTGGCTTCTCTTGAAGTAGTAACATCACTAATTGCTTTCTTCAATTCATCACAAATTTAAATGCCAACAATAACAGTATTTTCTTAATTTCTCTAATATTTAGGATGCCTTTCCTCACAATAGAAGCCAGGCTATCAAACTTTAATCATATTAGTAAAACAGAAGTTACCATTGCAATCCTCTTTTTCTTCTTTATCCATTGCTTCGTTCTTTGTTCGTTCAGATAACACTTGATTTTTCATGCCATCTCAAATTCTGCAGAAACTTTCTTTTCTTTCTATTCTTTTCCTTTTAAACCAAATTACTGAAATTAATCATGGTTGAGCTAGTTTCTGCTTTGTTTTATTTTCGAGTGAGATATCATGGAGATTATTTTTTTCCATCCTGTTTGGGTTGACACAGAACCCAACCATCACAAATTGATCAATGCCAAGCCTGAAAACACAGGTTTATGTTGAGGGCAGTCACTAACATCGCAATACTCTTGTGGCCTCAATCATCAGGCCTTTGCAAAATTTGTTTTTTGGGAACATTCATGTATTCTGTATATATTTCAGTTCAAAAGTAAGTTGGAAACTAAATTCAAATGATCTAACCTACCCGCTGCAGATAAATCAATGGTAACAATTGAATGAGAGATGCCATTTGCGATCATTTAGTTTATGAATGTCATAATTTTAGATCATAATTTCAGCCAATGCATATATTCTTTAAATAATTTGAGACCGTAAAATTCATCCAGATGTACTTGATGCAACAATTTGCTAATGTCATCTGATATGGACAATGTATGTTTTTTGGTAGTCTTCTTAATCTATGATACTAGTTCACTATTCCCTTTATAATCTATGATACCAGAAGGTGGGTGTTGTCTTGCTGCCTAATTCTGATCAAATTTGCTGGATTTACTCGTCAAAGAATTGAACTTCTCTTAAGCTTTTTTTGTTTTTTTTGGGGGGGGGGGGGGGAACTTCTCTTAAGCTAATAATATTTTTGATATTCTAATCAAACTACCTTCAGATTCAGAGTTGTATTAGCTAAAAAAAGGGGTAATTACACTTACCACTCTTGGGGTTAGGGGTAATTACAGGCGGTACCCCTTACGTTGAAAGAATTACACCGTCTTCCCTCAAGGTTTGCTCCGTCGTAACACTTAACCTCCTCCGGTGAAAGTCAACGCCGGTCAATGATGATTTCTGATGACATCAACTATTTTTAACCCTGCAATACCACATTTGCCCTTACTATATTTGCAAAGACATTTTAACTCTTACTTTTGAATTGATAATTACTCATATATCCTCAATTAATGGAAAAACAATCACCCTTTATTTTTATGTCAATGGGAAGACAATCTCAATCAACGGGATTGCGCCGGAATCCATGGAGGGCCCATGTCGCTGGAATCCATGGATCCACATAGTCGTTGATGACGCAAGTGCAGAGACGATGATAATATTGAATAAGTGAAGGTTATGTTACCGACAAACCCATGTATTGACACAAAATCCCCCCAAAACAAACACACTAGTGTTTGTTAACTCATTGAATCGGAAGTAAGTACAAGTAGAATTTGATTAATTCATTGAAGGATTTATACCCACCACGAACCATATATATGTGCAAAGATGGTATCAATTCCAATTGATTGCGATAATGATTCTAATTGTGAAATCGTTAAAAGAATTGACATAAAAGCTTCAAACAAGAACCCAAGTAACAAATTATAAAATTAAATACACTAAAATGGATTTTATTTAAATGTACCCAGTACCCACTAAGACTCTGCCAATACTCATTCACTTCCAATTGATTGCAACAATGATTCTAATCGTGAAATTGTTGAAGAATTAACACAAAAACTTTAAACAAAGACCCATATAATAAACCACAACAAATAAAAAATTCAAATACCCTAAAAAAAAACATCTTTCTCATCATATTTGGAACTCTATTCAAAATGAAACTCTGTTTAATTGTTGCAATCAACATGTAAAGGAATCAAGAAATGTATTGCACAAAGCGATCGCAAATGATTTGGGGTTAGAATTTATTTTTCTTTGCTCTGCCAACATGAAGCTGGCAGTTGGGTACAAAAGCTTTTACGGTTTGGTCGCCGTTCTCAAACTCACATGTTGGCTGAAGGAAACCGCCAGAATTGAAGTACGCAGGAACTGAGGTTGAACCGAGAAGAATTGAAACTCACAATTTGGGTATCTGAAGACAGGGAATATTTCTCGAGGTAGTCAATGCAGTGGACGAGGAAGGTTGAGAGGCACGCCGGAGAGGAATTTTTAGGTGGCCATGAGCAAGTCGACAAAGGGTGCGAAGGCGCGGTGGACCTAGAGGACGAAATCACCGTTACTGGGGCAGGCGTTGGCGATCTCGGCGTTGTGGAGGGCCTCTAGGACGGACCAGATGAAAGGGAAGAAGAGGAAGCCGAGGATGGTTAGGAGGGGCCGGCGATTTGGACAACAAGTTCTTTGCCTGAAATGTTAGAGGGGGGTAAAAGAGAGAGAATAGACCCGATGGTCCACAAGAGCAAGAAAAAGATAGGTTGAGGCAAAGAAGATAAAAGGGTAAGACTGTCATTTGGCAAAATAATTTGTTAATATTTTATATCAATATAACAATAGGGGTATATTAGTACTTTCATATGAATTTTTACTGAACTTAACACCGCTACATTTGGAGGTAGGTCAGTGTAATATTTAAAACGTTAGGGGTATTATCTGTAATTAGGCCTAATCTCGAGAAAGGGAGGTAGGTCAGTGTAATATTTAAAACGTTAGGGGTATTATCTGTAATTAGGCCTAATCTCGAGAAAGGTAAGTGATATTTTCCCCTAAAAAATATTGCATCTGTAATTATTTTGTTGGCGTGTCATCAGTTAAAAATTAAGCCAATTCTAACTCTTGAACAATTTGGTTATAGATTATCATCTCATCATCACATTTTTCCCGCCTACTGTTGAATATGATTAGACATCGTCATCTTGCTTGTTTTTATTGTTAGTTCAAAATCTGACCTCGTACATAGAATATTTAGCAAGATTGCACTAGTTACTTGGTGTCCTGTGGCTTATTTTGTAAAGAAAGGGAGTATTGGGCTGGTTGGAGGCTTGGATGGGGCGCGGGAGACTTGTATCTCTTGATGGAAACCTAAATTTTTGTATTGGTGAAGTAACACTGATGTTGCCCAAACCAGATGAGAATTAAATTTTGAGGATTTGAATTCTCTGGTTGTTGTAGGTCCTGCTAATTGGTATGCATCAAGTTGTATTGATTGATTGAAAGCATACCTCTCCTGTGGGTGTTAAACGTAGGGATAGCAACGGGGGCGGGTTTGGGCGAGTGTACCCTCTCCTGCCCCCACAATCGTTTAGAAACCCTGCCCCTTCCCCGCCTAAAATCGCAAAAACGGGAGTACTTTTCACCCCATTCCCGTAACCGTTTAACATTTTTACCCCTGCGGGTACCCGCCCCGCCCCGTTTAAAACCATAATTTATTTATTGTTGAAATAGATTTACTTCAATTCTCATCTTCAATTCTTTACCATTGCAAATTTCATTTTAATCAAATTCATTTTTTACGTTAATATTGTTATATAAGGTACTTAATATATAATGGGAAATATATATACTAATGAAATGTGAGTATTTAAGTGATTTGCCTATCTAAACGGGACGGTGCGACCTTTCCCCGCCCCCACACCAAACCCGCGTGGGTTTTTGTTACATCAAACCATCTCCGCCCAAATAAGTAAAATGGTCTCTCAAAACTGTCAAAAATGGTGCAGGGTGGGGCGGATAACTGCGGGAACGGATCAAATTGCCATCCCTACTTGTACGTTTGGCATCTCACCTCCTTAAATTTAGCTTCTTTTCCTTCTTGTGCTCGACTTTTTTAAGCGTATTGCTCGTGACTGCAGAAAGAAGAGAGATGTCCACATGACAACCCCCACGGATGACTAAGAGACTTCAAAGCACCCTGAAGAGAATAGGAGTACCAAATTAATTTATTTTAAATCATTAATTAAACTGACATGATTAAAATACAAAACATGATTAACGGTAATTTAAATTAGTTAACTTCG